AAAAACTACCCTAGTGAAAAGCAACGAAAAGAGGAAAAATACACCATAATTACAAAATGAACACATTTGCTAATTGCTGTAAACAACCCTGCACGCGTTGCTACAATAGAAAGTGAATTGAAAGGAAAATCGCTTTAACAAAATGTAATTATATTGGATCATTGTGCCGATTTCATTTATTTGGGAAAAAAAAAGGTAATTTAACAGTATAAATGTATTTACTGAAGTGCTTTCGGGTAAACAATGTTCTTTGTTCTTCCGTCTGGCGCGTACACAAATAAATCAGAAGGTTTTCCGGCGAGTGAACAGGCCACATATAGCTGTCCATGTGAAAAGCACGGATGTTCCAAATGTAGTCCACACACTTGTAGGGATTGTCCCTGTGATTTGTTTATGGTCATTGCAAAGGCGAGTCGCACCGGAAACTGCAAGCGTCTGAATTCAAATGGCATGTCTGTTGGAATCATTGGGATGCGTGGCAAAAGTATATTCTCGCCCTTAAATTTCCCATTTAAAATTGTACCTTCGATGATTTTGAGCATCAGCTTTTTCCCTGAAAGCCTGGTACCATTGCAAAGACGTGGCGGATTGATGTTTCTGAGAAGAATGATGGGCACGCCAATTTTCAAGGTTAAAACGTGGGGTGGCATGCCTGGCAAATCAAGTGAATTTAAGAACTCAGTTGGATAATTAACAACTTCGTCCTGATTCATGACAGTATCGATAGACATATACGTTGTCACATCGCCAGGTAATTTGTCTTGAATGTTCAGATTCATGGCATACACATCCTTGTTTTTAGCTGCTAAGCTAGCACGTTCACTGAGCCACTGATGATTTATGTAATTCTGTGTGATATTAGGGAAAACTTTGTGAATAAGCTCGTCTGTGGTAGCTGTAAGTGTACAGAAGTCTGTTGGCAATGTGATACATCGTGTGGATTCATCGGTTGGCATTGTCCCATTCCCAATATGCAACAACTGTTTTGCGAAACGTTCAGCGGTTGCATCATGCTGTAGCTGTATACGCATATTGGTCTTCAAAGTCAATATTTGTATGTGTCGCCACAAAACTGGTGATTTTAGGCATGCATTAAGTTCATCAGCGGGTGTTGATCTTGGTATAACTGGTAGAGTCTGCCGAAAATCACCTGACAATAAAATAAGTGCGCCACCGAAGAGGTGGTCATTTCCTCTCAAATCTTTAAGTGTACGATGAAGTGCTTCTAAGGATCTTTGCCCATTGCAGAATCTTTGTTGATATTGCATGTTGGTGTCTCAGTGATATGCATATTCAAAGGCAACTTCAGTGCTGAATGCGCTGTTCGACCACCATCCAAAAGAGTTGCGGCAATTCCAGAAGATGCGATTGCCAGTGCAATATTATTTTGTGACCATATGGATGCCAAAACAAGGAGCAGGAATTGTAAAAGTTAGTGAATAGGGCTAGTGAAATATTTACCACATCATCCTTCAAGTACCAGTACAACTACTAAAATAATGTCACTGCTATCTGTGTTACCATCGGAGTAGACAGAGAGTCGTGAGCCAGAAGATTTGGTTCCGCATGGCTAGTGCTGTTGCCACAGACTGGTCAGGTTAGGATGTATAATTTCACTTGCCGACAGAAGAACGCCATAACCTTACCGGCGGTCTTCACATGAGAGCACTATGGTGTAACAGCCCAACCACAACTATTACTGCTGCTGCTACTTTAAGTGGGTAAAGCAGTTACTGTGACTTAAAGCTCTCTCAGTTAATAGTCCCCCCCCCCCTTCCCCCAAATTCACCGACAACTCTTTCCCACATTGAAGTAGTTGGGAGAAAAAAATAACAACACTTGAAAAGCAAATGAACACAGGAAAAAAACACCATAATTAGGAAATGAACGCCATTGTAAACAGCACAGCTTAAAATTCCAACACAGATGGAATAACTAAATCTAAATGAAAATAAATGAAAATATATAAAATTTCAGCGTAACCATGCAATCGGAAAGTTTAACAATGCAATCATAAGTATGCGAAATGGTTAAATTTAATTATCAAATGGTTTACCCATTTACTTTTTTTTTTTTTTTTTTTTTTTTTTTTTTTTTTTTAATATTAAGGCAACATGGCTAGTGCTGTCACCACGACAGAGCAGATGAGGATATTATTTTAGTCCGGGGTAAAAAAAAATTTATCTACTGCGGATTCGAACCCAGGTCTACCGCACTTGAACCCAGTGTTCTAACCATTCGACCAAGCAGCCACTTATTTGGAACAACGAAAAGAGAATACAACTATTAGACATATGTGTCCCTACCACTGTGTCGCGATTAAAACACAATTCAAAACCGCAGGGAATTGTTGTCTCGTAGACAGATACTCCAGATATATTAATGAAATAGAAATCGCACGTGTCTAACACGGTTAATGAAGTTAATGTCGCAGTCACTGTCTGTGCCGACGTCGAGATAGTCCTCGATTGCCCCCCCCCCCCCCCCCCCCCCCCCCCCCCTCCCATCGAGGGTTGTTTGAAAAAAAAACAGAAAATAGAAATCGTGTTTAATAAGGTTATTGTGGCAAATATAGAGATAGTCTTCTTTGCTGTACCCCGACCTACTCTATGTATTCGTATTAGAGAAGGCTTTGGCTGCACGTAACTCGCCGGGGAATGGTAAATACGGCGCATGCGCAATTACTAACGTGGCTATAATTAGAAATCACTAAAGTTATAAATATTAGTTGCGTATATTTTGGCATAAATTGTGGTCACCTATCTCTAACAGTGACAGGTTGAATTTCAAACCACGACGGTTCAAAATCCGGTATCACAACAAACATATCCTGAAAATTTCAGCTAAATCGGTTCAGTAGTTTCCGAGTCTATAGAGACCAAACAAACACACAAACATTGATTTTTATATATATAGATAATAGTGCTGAGTTAGGCCATAATCTGGGCTCTTTCCTTGTCTGTTTCTGGTGGCATTTTGGGGGAGTTTGAATAAACCCTGCCCTTATCTCCCCCACAAGCATGTCATAGAAGTTACAAAGGGATTTCACGTAATGGACCTGCAGTCCCACCTGGTGTTCACTGTAGTATTTGTCATTGTTTTAAATGTCGCTATAGGCTAGTCCGAGCAGTTTTACCTGTTCAGATTTTTCATGAAAGTGATTAGTCAGCGGCGTTTACTTCTAAATCGGGATGTATCTGCCCGAGGGACGACGAACCAACAGTTTGCATACATAAAAGTTCACTCTGGAAAATTGGTTTGCACGCAAAATTCACTTTCTGAAACAAGGCCAAAGTCCAGAAACGAAAGAAACACCATAAGTTTCTGCGAAAGTTTACAATATCTTAAACCTTAAAAAAAGAAGTTCTTGGTCCATAGGTCGAACCAAATTAAAAGGATGACCCAGAAACTTACTGGGAAGTAAAGAAGAATGGCAATAATGTGACAAAATAATCAACAGAAATGTGACATTATGCGTTTCAGTTTAAAAAAAATGTACGAAATTAAAACGGTTTGGGTTATTTTATGTATAGGAAATATACAGTTAAATTGATCATCAAGTTAGAATTACACATGAAGCATATAATTAAACAAATATAAGCATATAAAACACAATGAAATAAATATGGGAAAATAAAATAAATAGATATTTCTAAGATGCAGATTTATAATACAAATATATCACTGACGTAGCTGAATCACGGATATAATTACAGGCAATAAATATAAATTAGGACATTAAGCAGTCAACAGTTCACATACGGGCATCTAAGAGGTAGCAATATTGATACACATACATCTATGACATAGTAATACAGACACAGGCATCAAAGATGCAAGGACATTTATACTAACATTTAAGATGCAATTGTTTTAATCCTGGTATGCAACCAATGGAGGATAGGAGAGACATCTAAGCCCAACAAGCAGACACATGTAGGAGACTGACAGAGCAACCCATGAATGAGTCTTAAAGGTCTAGGAAAAGGGAAGACTGAAGCGTTCTATACTTAACATATCAACAGCCAAACCCATCATTAGTACACACAGATTCCCTGCTTGGAGATAGCTGCATCTGCTTGAACTAAATGAAAATATTCCCATGTACTGAAAAAAAGGACAATCAGAATAAAACAGAAAGAAGAAAAACCACATTGAATGGCATAAAAAAAATAAAACACATGGACAATACAATCGAGGTGGGAAAAGGGGGGAGGGATGGGGAGTGGGCGGGGGGGGGGGGGGGGGGGGGGGGGGGGAAGGATGAAACAAACAGAAAAAAAAATCCTACAAAGGCATTCGTTTAAAATCGTAAAAGCTCAAGTAAATTTAGATGAGAGGCATTGAGAAGTGCAGAAGAAATATTTTTTTTTTTTTTTTTTCTAAGAAAAACATGAAGAGAAGCACATGGCTGTGTTTACAGTCAAAGTAAGTTATCCCAGTACTGAAGAGCAGAATGGCTGCACTCTGTGGAATGCGTCAAAAATCAATTAGAAAGGCAGTGCAGCGAAGGAATGGTGACTTCTAGAGCAAGATGGTATCGGTCATGGTTGCGTTTTATAACCCCCACTAACTATACATAAAGAGAATGGAATTCGTGCATTGTTAGTAGTTAGTGGGATGAAAAAGTAGTAAGGGAAGAAAGGTGAGGAGGAGTAGGAGGAGGTGAAGGAGAAGAAAAAGAAGAAGAGGAAGAAGAAGAAGAAGAAGAAGAAGAAGAAGAAGAAGAAGAAGAAGAAGAAGAAGAAGAAGAAGAAGAAGAAGAAGAAGAAGAAGAAGAAGAAGAAGAAGAAGAAGAAGAAGAAGAAGAAGAAGAAGAAGAAGAAGAAGAAGAAGAAGAAGAAGAAGAAGAAGAAGAAGAAGAAGAAGAAGAAGAAGAAGAAGAAGAAGAAGAATTGAATGAGCGTGAGAGTTATGTGTGTGCCTGTGTGAGTCGATGTGGCTTGCTTGTTTGTTAGGTTATTTGTTTATTTATTGATTTTTATTTATTTCTGAGAAATTTATGGGATGTGGCATTGTCCATCGACGAAGTATTTTGTGATGTTATAAGTTTGAGATGGTTTGGGTAACTGGTGCGTGTGTAGGTAATTACAGATTTGACAAGCCATCTTATCGGCGATACCATCGTCTGCTAGCAATGTATACAAATCTTTATACTCCAGGTACTTGCTGTAGTTTTCTAAATCTGAAGCCAAATGCTTTAAATGAAGAGCCAAATCTTTTGCCGTTTTAAAGTGAGCAGAGTTGATGTAGGTAAAGTCGGGAAAATGTTTGTCATAATCAGCACCGCCCCTCACAACAGGGATCACAAAGATGGTTCGATTAAATAACCTGAAGAATTTCTCGGTGACGTAGTCTGTACATAGAGAGTTCTCGAAGGCCAGGTAGAATTTATATTTGGTGGTCCAGTCGTTGCATGTTGTGTTTTTCCAAGCGCATGGCGTCCCACATTTTCCATATATGTCTATGTCGATGTATTTCTGAGGAATATATAATAAATCTGTTTTATTTAGTAATTGTTAAGTCTGATGTGAGGTGCATAAGGAGATACTCCGTACCCCACTCGGGCGCCAGTCCTTCACTGTTCTGGTTTTACGGAACCTCATGCAAGACTCCTGTTGAACGTCCCAGTCGTGCGCCACGGATAATGTCTCAAATGAGCATTAACAGAGTTGGCAGGGGATCTCGGAGCTGGCGGCCCCCAGAGGTGTAGTGTCCTTTCTGGCTCTCACCAGCCCGCCCCCAAACGCATGGGTGAAAAGTCTAACAAAAATCAAAATTGCTTGCTAAATGTACCATCAAATGACTACTCTTGGTTAAAATTCGGGAGGGAATTTATAACTGAGCTGCTGAGACTCAACCCTGACCGAGAGATTTACCCGCAGCCAAGACGAGTAACATCTCTTGCGGGCGACTTCTCGCAGCAAGATCCTACCTACGTACATCCTCTGTCAATCCTCAGTGTCGTCGTCACCGCGCTGAGGTACACCACGGCAGCAACTTTTCATATGCTGGTTTGGAAATAATGTCCGACAAAGTTATACCCCACGGCACACATGCAAGCTCAGAGTCCGACTATCATAATTCGTACCGATCAGGAAAAAGTCCGAATGTCCGTATCCACTGGTCCAACTCGCCCGAGTGTTGGGACCAAACAGGTGAAGCCACGCCTGACGCATTTTGCTTCCCAATTTTGTCGTGCTAAGGGCACAGCTGAAACAACGTTAAAGGTGTCTAACGTAAGATGAAAAAGAATGTACCTATTTGTGTGGCCACAAACGTCCTAGACCTGCGGGCTGCTCCCCGCTGATCTCCGGAGAGCGCATCCTTGTAGCGCGGGAAGCTCAATACACGGTTGTGAGGTTAAGCAGTCATGGGCAGGACGTGACGATTCCTTGGGTGAGCCCAGAACCAGGGCATCATGTGTCGGCTCTGCATTTATGGAAGCCTCCTTGGATTGCGGGGAATGCCTATGATCTGCCCATGCCTTCCCTTGAGGGCTGAAAACTCTACATAGAGCTGCCTTAAGGACGACATGCCGGGGGCCACACCTGTTAAAAGTCAAAGAGGACACCACACAAATGAGGCAACATCTCGACGCACACAAAACAATGGCCACAGTCAACCTAGAAATAGGCTTGACGTCTTCCTCCGAAGTCGGAGTACATCTGCCGGAGAGGCGGGGAACGAGTACTGCAAACAAATAAGCCAGTAAAACGGATGTACACGCAAAACTCAGGTCAAGGTAAAAGCCAAAAGTCCATTTTGGACGAACAACTGCGACTTACCGCCGGAATTCACAGCCGGTGAACAAGAAGAAGAAGAAGAAGAAGGTATAGATATTGTTTGGTATAAGTACTGTTTGGTATAGGTGCTATTTGGTATAGTCGCTGTTTGATACATGTAGTGTTTGGTAAAAGTACTGTTTGGTATTGGTGCTGTTTGGTATAGGTACTGTTTGATACATATAGTGTTTGATATAGTAACTGTTTAGTATAGGTGCTGTTTTGTGTAGTACTGTTTGATACTGGTATTGTTTGGTATAGGTACTGTTTGGTATATATACTGTTTGATACAGGTAGTTTTTTTGAATATGTACTATTTGGTGCAGGTACTGTTTGATATAGGTATTGTTTGGTAATTGTCTTTTTTGGTATTGGTACAGATTGGTGTAAATACTGTTTGAAGCAAGTGCTGTTTGGTATAGATACTGTTTGGTATACGTACTGTTTGATATATGTACTATTTGATATAGGTACTGTTTGATACAGATACTGTTTCGTATGTATGCTGTTTGATATTGGTGCTGTTTTGTATAGGTACTGTTTCGTATAGATACTGTTTGATACTGGTTTGGTATAGGTGCTGTTTTGTATAGGTACAGTTTGGTATAGGTACTGTTTGGTATTTTATGCTGTTTGATATAGGTAATGTTTAGTATAGGTGCTGTTTGGTATAGGTACTGTATGATACAGGCACTATTTGGTGTATGTACTGTTTGGTATCGGTGCTGTTTGGTATAGTGCTGTTTGACACGGGTATTGTTTGGTTTAGACAATGATTTGTACAGGTACTGTTTGGTACCATCATACATCTCTTGTCTACAATGGAATATCTAATGAGGATTGTTTCTGTTGTTGCTGTTGTTGTTGTTGCCATCCCTAGGCTACCACCTTTAGACTTGGACCTTCACTAAAACTTGTGAAGTCAATTTCATATTAGCAGACATGTGATCTTGTAAGAAGGCTGCTGGTGTCACAAGAGGAGATCACATTTAACAATGGAGAAATCACAAGAATAGGCCTGACATTAGGCAAACAGTTTATCAAAATAGACCAACAAATGAACTGTTTTGGCCAGTTATCGAGGATGCCCTAATACAAACTGCCGCATCGAGTCAGGTAAAGAAATAAAGGGGACATAGAACACGAAGAAGATCACGAAGAATATGGAACGATGGCATCAAGAACAACCTCCAGGAAATGAAAATTAACTTATACAAGGCATTGGGATGAACACGCAGACAAAATGGTACACCTCCCTCTATGTAAGTCTGTAACCGTGACGCTATCTGGCCGTGCCATTTATACAAACCTGCATTTCTCTCACGTATTCCATTCTCTTGTATCTGGCACCACAGTTACTGACCACCCATACAGCTGTTCCGTTCTTTGTCTTTGCGATGTGATCTGTAGGAGGTAAATGTCAAAGATGTCATCATAATCATGTAGCAGGTCCTTTGCAGAACGTCGCTCTCATCACAGTCTGCCTGAAAGAAACTCGGTCTCTCGCCAATGCACCCGCCTCATGTACTTTCATACTCAAGGAGTCATTTATATCCCATCTTCGTGTCGGTCGGCTCCTGCCCCTCCTTTCTGGTACCATGCCTTCTGCTATAATTTTTTTTTCTAATCCGTTGTGGCGCTTGATATGACCAAAATATTTCAGCTTCCGATAAAGGATGCTGTTTATTAGCCAATCTTCCTTGATGTTCAGATCTTTTAAGATGTCAATGTTTCTCCTTTTCTGTGTCAAAGATATTCTGAGAATCGTTCAATAGCATTTCAGCTCAACAGCCACTATTTACTTTCTTAAGGACTGAGAGATAGTCCACGACTCATATCCGTATGTAGCCGCAGGGAAGAAGCATGCTCTCAAAATTCTAATTTTTATCTCCTTCCTGGTGCCTAACCATAGACTTTTAAGGCTGTTCATTATTTGCATTGCTATGGCCATCCTCCTTTTAATTTATGTTTATGGCAGTCTCCATTGCTGTTTATTATAGAACCTAGATATTCAAAGTTTGTGACATTTTCAATTTCTTCATAATTTATTGTTACTTTTTGGTGACAGCCAGTTTTATCTGTGGACATTTTTTTCGTTTTCTGTAAATTCAAGAATAGATTATGATCTTCACTGTGCTTTTTAAAAAAAATTTCTATATCCTTTACGCTGTTGGAAAGGAAGACAGGGTCATCTGCGTAGCGGATTTCCGGAACAGGGCTACCACCAGTTTTGAGCGGTTCATAACTTGGTCATTTTTGACATATTTCATTATATTTTCTGAGTATATATTCAATAGGTATGTTGAGAGAATGCACCCCTGCCTCACCCCCTTTTGGACCTCGAACCAATCACATGTAGCTCTGATGGCTGCCTATGTTCATGATAAAGATTTTCATTTAAAATAATGCATTAAATGCGCTGGAAACCCCTTAACTTTTCAAATTAGTCCACCGTTTGTGGTGTTGGACACAATCAAATGCCTTGCTATAATAAATAAAACAAGCATGAAGATCTTCGTTGTAGTCTCTGCATTTTTCAAAAATTATTCTCAAATTAAAGATGTGATCCCTCCTTTACCCTGTCTGAAACCCGCTTGTGCTTCATCTAGCTCATATTGTAGTTTTCTTTCAATCCTTTTCATGATAATTCGTAAGAGGATTTTGCTAGCATGACTTATTAATGCGATGGTAAGGTGGTTAGAGCATAGTTTCAGATTTCCTTTTTTTTTGGGAGAGGGATAAAGACGGTCCTTTTCCACGCTTTAGGCCAAACGCCACTGTTCCAGATCTTCAAGCACAGTGCATGGTAGATTCGGACGCTGGCCTATCCTCCTGCTTGAAGTAATTCTTCTGGTATTTCGTCGCAGGCTGGTAACTTTCCTTTCTTTAGGCTGTGTATTGCCGATCGTACCTCCTCCAGTAAAGGCTCTGGTTCTTTTTCATAACTTTCACAAGTCGTTTTTGAATTACCTGTCACATCCTCATACATTTCTCTGCATAATTATTTCCATCTTACTAATATGTCTTTGGTTTCCGTTAATGTGTTACCGTCAAAGATGTATCACAGCTAGAATAACACACACACACACACACCCACACACACGAACACACACACACACACACACACAAACACACATACACATACAAACACACACATAAACACAAACCCCCTCACAAACACCCACACAAACACAAACACATAAACACAAGCACACACAAATACACACAAATACACACACATAAGCACACGCACAAACACAAACACAAAAACACATTTATAACACGCAAAGAAAATTGGAAGAGAGGTAATTAGTATACCCAGAAAGACCATAGTGGTCTACCGTGTAAAATTTCCTTGATTCTGGTGTCCCTCAGGCAACTCAGAGAGAGGCGGGTTTCACGTGAAAGACATTTATATTGCGGAATGTAAGGTGATATAGGAGTATTTAAAGACTGCGGCGGATGGGGTTAGGAAAGGCCCTAATAAAAGACACTGAAACGACACGCAACATCTTCTGTGCAAGTTTATTCATAATCATCATCGTCGTCATCGCCTCTGGTCACGAACAAATCGGCCCACAAACGCCATTTCAGAAAAAGTTTTCACTCGACCCGTGAACAGTACCTCGGCCACGAACTCACAAACATGGCTCGCAAACGTAATTTCCAGCTTTAAGAGGGCTATTTTTTCCAAGAAACCATTGACACGGATTTGACCCCGCGTTTCATATCCGTCACTGCCTGAACTTCCTTGACAAAGCATGGGCCAATCGCACGTTTCAGTCTGTCTGGACGCGACTTTGGCCAGGCTGTGTGACTGCTAGACTTGCAGAAGACAGGTGTAGCTGTAGTCAACGAGTCTGTGACCACTGGCAAGAGTTTGGACTTGAAGTTCAACGAGGAGTGTGATGGGGCTGATAGAGGACCGTAGACCAGAACCCAACACAGAACCCGTATTAAAATTGATCACGCGGACAACTGCTGATCTGTTGACGACAAGTTCTGCTATCATCAATGATGAACTGCATTTCTAATGTTGGACTGTTTGTGTTAGCACTTCGGATGGCTACCATATGCTTTAATGCGAGTGTATGCTAGATATGCTGAGACAGCAGTCTGTCAATCTTTCCACAAGGGACTGTGATAGACATTCTGGGTGTTTTTCGCTGGCACAGGAGCGGAGCAAAGATGGGGCAACCCGTTTGCTATGAAGCTGAAACTAAGACTACCAGACTACCAGACTACCAACACAGAAGAACTTGTTGAGTTGTATGTAGCATGAACAATGAATGTTGAATTAAGAATCGACATAACAGCATTCAGGTCATTTCCATAAGAACTCCGTCTCAGTCTTTAGCAGCAAGCGAAGAGTTCATATACCTGTTGCGACAGGAACTATCTAATTGTTTATCTGTCTCGCCTTTCCCTTGAGTGTTGAACATCTGTCAGATCTCCTGATAACACCGGGCAGTGTCCTTCTCGTCAGACCGTAAAGCTCTGTCTGTGCATCCGCACTGTTTACTCCCTCATAAAAAAAGGCCTCCACAATATCTAGCGTGTCAAACAGTGGTGCAGAGCCGGCCAGTCTATCTGCCTGATCATTGACATAACATAGAGATAGAGATAGACAGAGAGAGGGGAAGAGAGAGAGAGAAAGAGAGAGAGAAACATACACACAGAGACGAAAAGAGACATATAGAGAGACAGATACAAAGAGATAGAGAGCGGACAGAGACAAAGAGAGACGGATACTGAGACCCACAGAGACAGCACACATAAATACACACACACACACACAGACAGAGGCGACAAAAGACAGAGAAAGACATAGACCTACAGAGACGTAGAGACAGAGGCAAACAGAGAGATAGGGAGCCAGAGACAAACAGAGAGAGAAAGACAGAGACAAACAGAGAGAGAGAGAGAGAGACAGATCGACAGAGAAGTGTGCGCGCACGCACACACACAGACAACGAAAGACACCAATAGAGAGAAAGAGAATGGCAGAGAAAGAGACTGACAAAGATAGAGACATAGACATACAGGTAGAGAGACAGTGACCGAGAGAGTCAGACACACACACACACACACACACACACACACACACAGAGGGGAGGGAGGGAGAGGGTGTCTTAGAGGGAAGCAGTGAGAGTGTTCGACAGTTCAGTATCGTGAGTTGGAGAAGAATATGTACCAGAAACAACTGGCAGTATACAGGAAGACTGCCAACACTTGCACACAACATGAATATACCATAAGAAAAAACAACAGACGACCATTCCTATGGCCTTTCTTCTTCCCAAGACTGAACCTGCACTCACCATAGTTTGGTCTCTTGGCTTGGGGCTGGACTTCAATCTGCTGTAGGGTACAAAAATGTCTGAGTCGAGCCGGTACGACATGATCAGATTGATCCGACTGTTCCACGGAGATTCCCTATCTAGAAAGCAGCAGGAAAAATAATTACTACCTAAAATGCCCTGTGTACCAAAGCTTTAAAAAAAGAATGCATATTAACTATAGCAGTTATCTTTTTTCACATCTAAACGAGGCAGGGAGTGTTCCATGTTGGTGTCTGGTCGTCGATAATGTATCCATGAGACTCAGTGATTGGGAGTCTGACCAGTTCACTGTAAAATTCCTTGGCGTTGACCGACTTGCGGTTGTGTGCCCAGTCAGTCAACAATATGCGTGCTTATTTAATGTTAGATTAATCTCGGTCTAGCTAGCGACGGAAGCAGCTACAGCTAGAGAGTGAATATCGAAAGCAAATGGGGCTGTGAGTTGTAGAACGCCGCTAGAAACTGCTATGAGAAGAGGGAGCTTAGGGTTAGGTCTTGTTATGGACTCAGTCAAGTTCAGGCTAGGTCTCGCCCTTCAAAGTGATGCCACCTTTTATGTATACCAATCGGTATCTGTGGAGTATTAGACGGACAGTATCTCTGTATTCACCAATAAATCTTCATTGCCATAATGTGTTCGTCAATAATGAGACTATGATATAGACTCTCAAAGTATTTTTTGGCAATGTTATCGGTGTTGTGGAACGATGTGACTATGTGAAACTGTATTATTTAGGCAGTCTTCGGTAGGGAAACCAATTAGTCGTCGGACTGTCGACCTGTGAACTTTATATATATATATATATATATATATATATATATATATATATATATATATATATATATATATATATATATATATATATATATATATATATATATATACATATATATATATATATGGGTGAGGCAATAATCATTTCCACCTAGACAATTTGCAAAACATGTGTATAAATGGGTATGAGTATGCATGAGTGGGTGTATGCCTAAATATGTATGAATGTTTATATGTATATTGTAGTATGATAATGTTTTCATACATGTCGAATTATAAGTAGGTGTGTCTGTGTATCTGGGTTTAGGAGTGTATATGTGTATGTGTATGTGGAGTGTGTGGATGTACCAATGTATGTGCATATAAGTATATGAGTATGTTTGCATGCATGAGTGTATGTATGAGTATCTGTGTGTATGTATATGTGTGTTTGCGTGTGTATGTGAATGCGTGTGCATATAGAGGTATGAATGTGTCTGTATATGTAACTCTGAAGGATATGTATGTGTGTATTATGAATGTATGTATCTATGTATGTTAGTATGTAGGTATATATATATATATATATATATATATATATATATATATATATATATATATATATATATATATGTGTGTGTGTGTGTGTGTGTGTGTATGCAGTATGTATGCATATATGGGTATTTATGTTCAAACGATAGTATTTACATAAGGGCTCTTTCCAGAAAAGTAAACTTACCTCGACACTGCAAGGTACAAAAGGATACAATTTGATGAGACGAATAACAAAGTTCGTTCTTTCCATTTAACTACCTTTTGTCGGCCTGTCTGTCTGTCCGTTAGTCGGTTTCACCAACTTTTTATTTTCTTCCTAAAACAACTATTTCTAGTCTCTTTTCTTCCAAAACATAATTATTTTTCTCCGTGATAGGTTCCCCCCCCCCTCTCTCAAAGACCATCTTCATGAGCATGTCGTGAGATATGGTATACAAGACAATGTAGGAAAATGCTAGTGATGGGTCAAGTATGGCCTGGTCTTGCCTCACGGGACCGCTACGGTAGCCATGAAGGTCATTTTGAGTCACTAGAAATGCCTCTTCCAGCAGGGTTTGGGGGAAGTTGCGACTGGCCTAGCAAGCCGGCAGTGGATTTATAATCGCTGCAAATAGTCTTGTGATATATAAACGGGGCTTACTGGAATGGCATTCCGTCAAAGCAAGGAGTAGAACTCTGTCTCGGAAACTGTAAAAAGCTAACTGAACATAAAAAAGAAAAAAAAAAGGGGGAGCATTCGGAGGGGGAACATTAAAAGTAAAAGTTAACGGAGGAGAAGACAAAATGTGGAGAAGGAAAATGGGAAGGAGAAGAAAAGAAGGCGGGAAATGGAAAAAAAATGATGTTTTGATTTCTCAGTATATTTATGTACAAATTGCCTTGTTTTGATACAGAAAGTGGGTGTATATGTGTGTGTTTGTGTGTGTGCGTATGCGTGTATATGTTTGTGAGAAAAGGTTCGCAGGAGGGTATCTAGATTCCAAGCCATACATGACGTATCTTGCCATGATAGAATGAAGATGATGGTTTCGATAAGTCATTGTGTTCGAACTTGCTATGTTTCAATAGGACAGACTACTTGTAATATAATCTGCATCTGTATATTCTGGAAGAGGCGGCTCCCAACCCTGCTTAATGTAGAGCTGGTGTGGCCATCGCTGTCCGGGGTCGAAGTTGTCCCGAAAATAGACACCATTAATAAGAACTATATCGGTGTCATTGGTAGCCGTGGAGTAATTAAACACGCACTGGTTGATCTTACATCTGTTTATGTCCATTGAATACCGAGATATCCACTTACGTGTTCTCAGGTAAGCAATCTTGAAAATTTTGACTGTGCTTGGTTTTAGGACAGGAGGTGCACATTCTATATACGGGGATTTCTTGCAATGTACAACTAGACTGTTGTTAAACGTCATAGTTGTTGACAGGGAGAACACTTCAGGAATAAACGTTGTGGAGGTATTATAAGCTTTGGTAGCTTTAACTGCTATTGTGGTATTTTGAGAAATTTTTCTGAGGGAGTGTCTGTCACCAGCTGCCTGGAAATATTGTTGTTTCTGTGGATATCTTAGTGATTTTGTGTTCAAACTGTTTGAGGTCGTTTCCTGCAGTACCTGTTTCCATGTCAGCTTCGACGACATGAAGCGGTCAACTCTTGATGTAATGAACCTGGTGTCGAAACAATAAACGATGCATCCATTCAGCAGACATACTGCAATAAGTCTCTTCAGCGTGGACTTTTTATAGAGGATCCTGAACAAAGAAAATAACGTTGCATAATTATTGTAGTTAAATGCAAGGAACAGTTTTCAGTTCAAGTCTCTAATAAGTACAAGGTGTTGCAGCAGTTAGCTGAAGTGGTCAGCACAGAAGTCTGCTGGGATCAGATCAAAGGAATATGGAATGAATCTTATGTAGAAGTACTTGGCAAGAAAGAACGGAAACATAAAGCGTGGAAAACACCAGAAACCATTAAATTGATTAGAGAAAGGAAAAGTAAAAAGGCAGATTTAAGCAATAGCAAAAATAAAGTTGCTACAGCCAAAGCTCAGGATAAATACACAGAAGCAAATAAGAAAGTTTGGAGGCGTATAATGGCAGATAAAGTGGAATATCTAAATGATGTAGCACAAGAAACGGAGACAGCAGCAGCGAAAGGAAACCTCAGAGAACTTCACAGTAACACAAGAAAATTGGTAGGTAAATATAGTTAGCCAACTGGATCAATAAAAACTAGTCAAGTAAAGGCACTTACTAACACTAAAGATCAAAAAAACACATGGGTTTATTATTTTATGAAGCTTCTAAATACATGGTCCAGAGGTTCCCCCAGATATCCAGCCTTTAGAAATGGAACTGGATATCAACTGTGAGATACCATCTAAAGAGGAAATTTGAAAAGCTATCCATCTTCTCAAGGAAGGAAAGGCGGCAGGCCCAGATAGTATCCCAGCTGAAGCCGTTAGGGCCAACATGAACAAATCAACATAATTTCTTGATAGATTATTCAGTAAAGTCTGGGAGACCGAAGAAATACCGGCAGACTGGAGAGAAGGATATCTTGTGAAACTGCCCAAAAAAGGTGATCTACAGGAGTATGAAAACTATAGAGGAATTATGTTGCTGTCAGTTCCTGGAAAAATATTAAGTAGAATTATTTTGGAAAGATTACAAGATGCTATTGATAAAAAGCTAGGAGATGAACATTCAGGTTTCCGTCAAATAGATCCTCTACATACCAGTCGAGTTCTTCATGAGGGAAAGCTGACAGATACATTTGAAATAAAAACAGGCGTGCGACAGGAATGTCTTTTGTCGCCTCTTTTTTTTTTTTTTCTATAGACTGGATTGTAAAAACAGTAACTGCTAACACAAGGAATGGAGCCCTACAAAACAGCTTGATGATCTGAACTTCGCTAATGACATTTCTCTTCTGTCCCATCCACGGAATAGCATGCAAGATACGTTAAATTTACTTGATGCGAGATCACAGCAGCATAGTCTGAAAATCCATAAAAGGAAAGACAAGGATAATGAGAATAAATCAGGCAAATAGTAGTGTGGTTTCTTTTAATGGCACCCCACTTCAAGACGTGGAGTCGTACACCTATTTGGGCAGTAATGTAGATAAAGATGGAGGAACTGATAGAGATATTAAAATAAGTATACACACGTCAAGAGGAGGTTTCATAGCCCTAGGGATCTTTTGGTGGTCAAAAGAAATAAAAAGAAATACCAAACTAAAAAAAATTTAATTCTAATGTCAAATCAGTACTTTTGTATGGGGCGGACAATGGAGAACAACTAAGGCAATTACTAATAAATTATAGACATTCATTAACTTGTGCCTGCGCAGAACAGAAGGAATTAAATGGTATGATAGAATCACTAATGTAGAGCTTTGGGAGATAACTAAACAGGATCTAGTGGACCAAGAAGTGAGGAAAAGACGCTGGCTTTGGATAGGACACGCACTGAGAAAACACGAGAACAGCATAACTATAATGTCTTTGCACTGTAACCCACAGTGGCATAGGAAAAAAAACATGAAGAAGAGAGCTGAAGAATGATGTTAGAAAGATGGGGAAGACATGGGGAGGACATAGGGAGGGCTCCATGTAATGGCGAAGGATAGAACGACTTGGCGTGAGTTGGTTGAGAGCCTATGCTCCAATGAGGGATAGAAGGGCAGAAGAAGAGGACTGCACTTCAGACTTTTAATTACTTACATAAGCGGATTGGCACATAC